TAATTCTGGCTACTTGGAAGGCTGAGGCGGAAGGATCGCTGGAGCCCAGCAGGTCAAGGTGGCCGGGAGCGGCTGCACTCCAGTCTGGGTGACAGAGTGAGACTCCAACTCAAAAAACAAACAAACAAAAAAGTAACATTATGACCTTCATGATGATTTAGTGTTTTAGTACACTGGGTAGAAATCATGTCTTCACCAGAGTGATAAAGCAGCACTGATTTATCAAAATCTATGTACTTGCTCACTGTGGCATTCACCAGGGGCTGGAGGAATTCACAAGTGAGTACCAAATCTCATTAGGCACTACATTTACAGCATCCCCTTATGTGCCATACTGGCCAAAGATACCAATTTTTTTTTTTGAATCTCACTCTGTCACACTCACTGTCTTACTCAGGCGACCCTCCCACCTCAGCCTCCCAAGTAGTTGGGAGTACGTGCATGCACTATCACACCTGGCTACTTTTTTTATTTATTGTAAAGACAAGGTCTTGCTACATTGCCAAGGCTGGTCTTGAACTCCTGCCCTCGAGCAATCCTCCCCACCTTGGCCTCCCAAAGTGTGGGGGTTACAGATGTGAGCCATCACGCCCAGCCTAGGTATGAATTTTTTTTTTAATTAAACATATTTTTTATTATAAAATTGTGGGGGTACAGTTAAGGGTTAGGTATACAGATGTGCATCGTTCAGGCACCCTTGTTAATAAGGGGTGTCTTCCCCATCCCCAGACAGATATTGACCACCATTAGTCCCACCTCCCTTCTCCTCCCCACCCCCCAGGTATGAATTTTTAATTAAGAATACAGGTTTTACCTCCTCTGTGTCATCTAGACTTGGCAGTAGTCATAGTACCCTATAGATGTTGCACATATGTGCTGAGCATCAGGGTGTGAGGTCAGGTCCCACAGCTTTGGCAGAGTGGAAAGCAGGGGACAGAAACGCTCTCACCCCAGGTTATGTGGCCAGCTCCCTCCCGTGCCCAGCCCCACACCAAGTTTGAAGTCATGTCGAATGACTGCAGAAAACACACTGCTCAGTTTTCCACATACTGCTGAGTCGTGCAAGCAGTGTCTAGTGTTCTTCTGTTTCCTAACGGCCAAGGGGCAACTAAACATGACAGGGGCCACATCTTCTGTTCCCAGGGGAGATGCTGTCCTAATTAGATGTATACCAGCCACAGAAAGTGTCGGGAGGAAACATGAGGGGACTCGGTCAGGAAGTATGGCCATGGGCGGCAACTGGGCTGGATGCAGGTGCCTCAGGGCCCTGCTGGGCCAGCCTTGCTCAACTCCCCAGGGTGCCTCCAAATTTACTTCTACATTTTTAAGCTTATAAATCGCAAAGTCCAACAGAAATGTGTACAGAAACAGAAATACAAACAAGGACTAGCCAAGGACCCCAGTGACCCACCGCACAGCTAGGCAGGTACTGAAACCACCTCTTTTATCCCCTCTGCATGCCAACGTTTCAGAAATCTGGCTACTGCTAGACAATTACGAAATCAAAAACACCCTGTAAGATACAAGGGCAGAGAAGCCTCTCCTTTTCACAAGAGAGGAACCTAGAATGGAGGCCGGGCAGTGGAGTCTCGAGACCCTTTGTTCGCTGCAGTTGTCATCTGCACCAGTGAGTGTGTGAGCCTTTCCCGGTTGGGTGGAACACCCCGTGATCAACACGTTGGCTAGGGCCGGGAAGGCTGCCGTGGCCCAAGCAGGGACTTGGAGATCACTCACCGGCAGCAGCTGGAGGGCGGTCACCTGCTGTGCATCCCTCATACTCTCTTCCTGAAGGAGGAAGACATCTTGTGGAACTGAAAGAGATCGAAAAGGGGTGTCCCAAGGGGGCCAGGCCCTGTGCAATACTCCTGAGTACCCTGGGCTCTTCTTCAAGGGGCCGCTTCCAGGGCTTTCCAAAGAACCCTGTGACTCTTCCCACCTGTAAGACGAGGACCGTAAAGTGTGAAAAAGTACACCACAAAAACTTATTCATTACTTTGTTTTCAAATATAACAACCAGGGCTCCTCTACCAGGGAATGCCTGGCTCAAGGGGCACTTCTACTTCCAGTAACTAGATGTTCCACCTCTGACAGACCCAGGGACCTCAGCTTTGCTATCTAAAATATGGAAAAATAGATGTTAAAACTTTATAAAACTATACTGGGCAGCACAGTGAGACCTCATTTCTACAAAAAAGTTAAAAGAAAATATTAGTGAGGTGTGGTGGTGCACACCTGTAGTACTAGCAACTTGGGAGGCTGAGGCAGGAAGATCACTTGAGCCCAGGAGTTCAAATCTGCAGTGAGCTAGCTATGATCACACCACTGCACTTAAGCCTGGGAGACAGAATAAGCCCTGTCACTAAAAAAATAAAATAAAAACAAATCTATGGAACTGAGGCCTCAGTAAGGGCCTTTGGAAAACAGGATCACTATGACACTCCAGTATGATACAAATGTACTTCTACATTTTTAAGCTTATAAATCATAAAGTTCGAACAGACTATTGCCCAAGTGATGGTGAGGATGTAAAGGGAAACTTCACATGTTATAAATGAGAATGTAAGTTAGTATAGCCATTTGTTAAATAGTGCAGAGATTCCTAGAAAAAGTTTTTTTAATAGACAGGATCTCCCTCTGTCACCCAGGCTGGAGTGCAATGGTGTTATTATAGCTGACTATAGCCTTGAACCTTTGGACTCAAGGGATCCTCCTGCCTCCCAAGTAGCTGGGACTACGGGCATGCCCTACACACCCAGCTAATTTTTAAATTTCTTGTAGAGATGGGGTCTCTCTGTTGCCCAGGCTGGCCTCAAACTCCTGATCCAAAGCAATTCTCCTACCCGAATCTCTGAAAACATTGAGATTACAGGCTTGAGCCACCACACCTGGCACCCCCAAATTAAAACAGAACTACCATACAATCTAATAATTCCTCTTCTGAGTATATGCCCAAGAGAAATGAAATCAGCACCTCCAAGAAGCATCTGCATCTTCATGTTTATTGCAGTATTTACAATTGCCAAGGTCTGGATTTAACCTAACAGCTGAATAGATAAAGAAAAGTGGTACATCTACCCACAATGGAATATTTAACTGTAAAAAATAAGGAAATTCTGTTACTTGCAACTACATGGATGAACCTAGAGAACATTGCGTTGAGTGAAATAAGCCAGGCACAGGAAGACAAATACCACACATTCTTAGTTATATGTAGAATGTGCAAAAGTTAAACTTCTAGAACAGAGAGTAGAATGGTGATGACTAAAAGCTGCAGGGGACAGAGGATGGAAATATTCTGGTCAAAGGATATACAATTTCAGTTACATAGGAGGAACAAGTTCAGGAGATCTACTGTATGGCATGGTGAATATAGTTAGTAAAAATGTACCATGTGCTTGAAAACTGCTAACAGAGGGCTGGGTGTAGTGGCTCATGCCTATAATCCCAGCCCTTTGGAAGGCTGAGGTGAGAGGATTGCCTGAGCCCACGGGTTTGAGACCAGCCTGGCAACATGGCAAGACCTCATCTCTGCACTAAATCAAGAAAAATTAACCAAGCATGGTGGTACACGCCTGTAGCTCTAGTTACTTGGAAGGCTGAGGCAGAAGGATCACCTGAGCTCAATCGGTCGAGGCTGTGGTGGCCGTGAGCATACCACTGCACTCCAGCCTGGCAACAGAGTGAGACTGACTTAAAACAAAACAAAACAAAACAAAAAACTGCTAACAGAGTGGATATGAAGTGTTTTTACCACAAACAAGGAAAACATATGTGAGGTAATACATATTTTAATTATCTTGTTTTTCTTTTCTTCTTCTTTTTTTTTCTAGGGACAAGGTCTTACTATATTGTCCAGGCTGGACTTGAACTTCTGGGCTCAAGGGCTTTTCCTGCCTCAGTCTCCACCTCCCAAGTAGCGGACTACAGGCGAAATTAGTTTGATTTAGTCATTTGACAATGTATGCATACACTGAAACATCACATTGTACACCACAAATACCATATGCATTTTTTGTCAATTAAAAAAAAAAAGAAATAAGAAAAAAAGGAAGGACTGTTACCATTGCTAGGCACTACTGGAAGAATGTTTGGCTCAGTGCCCTAACCACCACAGTGTGAAAAGTGCAGAGGTGCTTTGAATCCACCTCAGCCTCCCCTACTTGGGGCTGCCCGGGCCTCTACCATGATCTTCTCTCTGATTGACTTGCTCAGGCTTCTGCGATGAGCCATGTCCCTGCCAATGGCGTTGCTATGTAGAAATGGGCTCTATGCTTCAGAAGGTGCTCCTTTCAGAGTAAAACTTGGAGTGTTATACCACTGTCTCTTGGTTTATAGACAATCAGGAGTTGGTCCAGGTCACAAATCAAGGTATCAAGCAAATCCCAGAAGCCAGTGCCCCTGACCTTTCAGACCTGGGCTGCAAAGCCTTCAGGAAGCAGCAGCTGCAGGAGTAGCTGGGAAAAAGGACTGGGATGGGAGCTGGGTGATGGCAGGAACACTCTGGGGGTCTCAGAGGAGGCAGCCTGTTCACTGTACCTAGAGGAGAAGCTGGGGTTGGGTGGGTGTGGATCCAAGGAGGAGGCATTGTTCCATATGCGCGCTCCATTTTAAGGTTTTTTTTCATCTTTTTTTTTTTTTGAGTTGGAGTCTCACTCTGTCGCCCAGACTGGAGTGCAGTGGCTGCTCCCGGCCACCGCAGCCTCGACCTGCTGGGCTCTGGCGATCCTTCCGCCTCAGCCTTCCTTCCGCCTCAGCCTTCCAAGTAGCCGGAATGACAGGCACGTGCTACCACGCCCGGCTGATATTTTTTTTTTTTAATTTATTGTAGAGATAGGTCTCCCTGCCCAGGTGGGTCTTGAACCCACGGGCTCAGGTAATCCACTCACCTCAACCTCCCAAGGGCACGGGATTACAGGCTGAGCCACTGAGCCCGGCTTTTTTTCATCTTTTTTATTTAACTTACCTTTACTTCCCAGTTTTATTAAAGTATAACTGACAGAAATTGTATGAACTTTGTGTACAAAAGCTGTGCGCAATGTGCTATCATGTCTACACTGAAATCAGGCTAACTAACATACCCATCAACTCATCTCATCATTTTTTTGTGATGAGAACATTAAATCTATTCCTAACAATTTTCAGGGTCCGGTACAGTGCCTCACACCTATAATCCCGGCACTTTGAGAGGCCGAGGTAAGGACTGTCTGAGCTCACAGGTTCAATACCAGACTGGGCAACTTGGTGAGACCTCATCTCTACCACAAATCAAAAAATTAACTGGGCATAGTGGCATATGCCTGTAGTTCCAGCTACTTGGAAGGCTGAGGCAGAAGGATCACCTGAGCCCAGCAAGTCGAGGCTGTGGTGGCTGTGAGCGTGAGTGTGCCACTGCACTCCAGCCTGGGTGACAGAGTGAGATTCCAACTCAAAAAAAAAAAAAAAATTTCAAATATAAAATTGTCAATTTCAAGTACAAGATTTTCAACTATAAAATAAAAATATCCTAAAGTCCACCTGTGGTAACTGACTTATCTCAGAACCTTCCATGGTAGCAGGGGCACAGGCCCTGCGGTTCTGAGGCTCCTCCCTCCTGAGTACCAGCCCAACCTGCAAGCCCCCATCCCCCACTTCCTGCAAAACCAGCCTCTGGCACACGCATTGTTTATTTGGGCAAGTGGCAGTTTCCCTTATGACTGTTGTTAGGGGCTAAATTGTGTCAGGTGCTGTCCTCAAACCCCCCTACCCCACCTCAGAATCTGACTGCATTTGAAGAGAGGGTCTTTAAAGCAGTAATTAAGTTAAAATGAGGTCTTTATTGTGGGTCCTAATACAATAGGACTGATGTCCTTACTGTAACAGGAGATTACCGCAGACACACGCAGAGGAAAGATTGCCCTATAGAGAAAGTGACAGTCTATAGCCAGGGAGAGAGGCCATGAGAGAACTTGAAGCTGCCGATGCTTGAATTCAGACTTCACCTCAGACTTCTGGCCTCCAGAACTGCGAGAATGACTTCTGTTACACAAGCCACCCACTGTGTGGTGCTTTGTTATGTAGCCCAAGCATCTAACACAATTGCCTTGACTTTCAATCAAGAAGAGGATGAAATGCTTATTTGATTTACGGAAGCTAGGGTAGTTTTGCACATAAGGAAATTTAATAGTCATTACTTATTTTATGGGAAAGTTCATGATGATGTCAAGGGCAACTTCTGCATACCACAAGAATGCCCTCCTGCCCCCTCCCCTTCTCTTTTTGCATCTTCACTATAGCGAGCTTCGGCCAAGTCCACCAGAGCAAACCCATGCACCAGATTTCCTTCAGCCTGGGGGCGCCACTTCCCATACATATCTCTACTTTAAGTTTTAGGCACCTCAGGCCGTATGCTCAATGTTTTATGGGTTACATGTATCTTATTTAAGCCTCAAAAAACCCTAAAAGGGTAACTACTATCCCTATTGGATAGTTTAGAAGCTCACCCCAGAGCATACCTAGGAGATTTAAAACCAAAACCAAGTTTATCTGGTGACAAAACTATATGCCCATAGCCACTGGGGCACTTTGTAGATTTTCAAACCACGACCAAGTTTACATTCAGGCCCTATACGGTGAAGATACCACCCTGTGCCCTCCAATGTATTATTATTATTATTGTAAGATGGGGTCTTACCATGCTGCCTGAGCTGGTCTTGACTTCCTGGACTCAAGCGACCTTCCTACTGCAGCCCTCCTGTGGCTGGTATTAAAGGCACATACCACCACACCCTGCCTCCAAAGTACTTTTACATCTTCTTGCAGCACTACAATAATCCTAAGAGCAAGAGCTGTATAGCCAAGGAAGGAGAGATCCTAAGGGACAGGAAGACATGTCTGTGCTCAGCTCGTGCCCTGAGCCCAGGTCGTACAGTGACAGTCTTCTGCTGTCACCACACTGACAACGCCCACAAAGCTGTGCCCTCAGAGAGATGAGGAGGCATGCTATTAAAAACATTCACCTACAGAAGGGCTCCCTCTGGCAGGACAGTCATCTTCACAAGTTTCTGATTCAATCACTCTAGGGAGGGACCCAGACTCTTGACAATAGCTCACAGTTCCTCGGGGGACAGGAGAAAACTGCTGAGGTAGAAAGCCAGCAGCTTAACAAAAACCACACCCAGTCACATTTTAGGGTCTGCAAGCCCAACCCTCCCAGGGCTGCATACCTAGGTCCCCGCTGAGCTGGCCAGAAGGCCTGCTTGGGAGCCCCAAGCCCTGTGCCAGGGCTGTAGGCTGGGCATCCTGGCTCCTTGCAAGGTCGCTTTGGGCCTCTCCTGGCAGCCGCTCTGGCTCCTGCTCCTGGTCGGGGAGGCTGTCGCCATCGTCAATCACCACGGGGTCTTCACAGTGCTTGAGCTGCAAGCCCAAAGAGAGCTTTTCAGGGCTAGCTGGGGTGGAGGCCCTTCCTCCCGAGGCCTGCTGACTGTCAGCTGCACAGCTGAACCCCCAAAATGCCCTATCTGGCTTTGGAAGGGGACGACACACGCTGGCTCAAATGAGAGCCCCAGGGAGGGAACCTCCTACCCTGAGAAATGCCACCTGGCCAAGGGATAAGGCTCCAGATGGAATTCCTCTAGAGCTGGCGGGAGTGTGGCCCATCAAAGTACCTGAGCAAGGGGCCTCCCGTCCCAGCTGTACCCCACGCTCACCCACTGCCAGGGTCTCCCAGGCTCCCGTTCCAGTGCCTCCACCGCGGCCACGGCCTGCTCGCCACTCTCAGGCTCCTGGGCCCGCACCCAGCTCTGGATCTCACGGGGCAGGATGGCCAGGAACTGCTCCAGCACCAGCAGCTCCAGGATCTGCTCCTTGGTGTGCCGATCAGGCCTTAGCCAGCCCCGGCACAGGTCCCAGAGGCGATGCAGGGCCTCACGGGGGCCCGCTGCCTCCTGGTAGCGGAACCGGCGGAAGAGGCGACGAGAGGATTCAGGGCTGGGAGCCTCCCCCTGGGGGCCGGGGTTCTCTCCAGGCGGGCTCCTCATTTTCCTGGGCTCCTCACTTTCCTTCGGAGCCAAGACTCGGGGGCACAGGGCTGTGGGCATGATGGGATTTGATGGGGGTCAGCAGCAGAAGACGACCCTATTTCCAAACAGAAATCACTGGCTTCAATGTTCTGGTCTCCTGTGGTCACTTCTGGGGGGTGGTGATGGGGAAACGGACAAAGCCCACAGAGACCAGCCCTTTGGAAAAGCCCCAGGAAATGTTTGAGGTGTTAGTGTGGTGGGTCCTTGCACATGGGAAGGGACAGAGTGAAAGACACCCCCCAACGGTTCCATAAAGTGTGAGTTCCCCTACATGGGTGACTGGGTGAGCAAGGCAGGAATCTGAGAGAAAAGCGATGGCACTGCAACATGATACTGGTGTCTCACACATCCCAGGAGAGCAACAGGGTCGCATGCAGGAAAGAGACGGAATTAACACTCTCTGGTACCTTCGGTGGCCAGGTCCTCCTGGAGAGAACCCGAGACAGATGGGCCAAGCAGGCCGCTATCTTGATGCTTTGGAGCCGAAGTCGTTGTCCTTGCTCTTAAGACCTTTACAAACCGAGCTGGAAAGACAAAGACACACAGGCATAGGAAGAGCCCTCCACACACACCCAGGAACTGAGAATCCACTCTGCTGACCACCGGTGCCACGGGCTGGATGACACAGAGCCTGCTCCGGGAGGCAGAGATGCCACACCCCCAAGAAGACACCCAGACAGAGAAGGGGATGGGGAAGTCACAGGAGACAGCCACATACAGCTTCCCAAGAGTGGCAACACTGTATTTGAGAACATCAGTGCATCCACAGGAGCCTCTGCTGTACTCACTGGAACGTCTGAATGGTAACCCTGAGCATACATTTGAAGGTACCTTGACCTTCAGCCATGCCTCTACTCCTGTCCTCTTCAAACCACGGTCAAGGAAATGGCACCCACCTGGCAGCCCTTCCTTGGCCATGATGCAAGGAAATGGCACACACCTGGCAGCCCTTCCCCGGCCATGATGCAAAGGGGGATCGCTCCTGGCACAGCTCTCAGCCCTCCCGGAGCCCTGGAACATCCCAGACCACCACCTCCCCGCCAGGGCTCAGGGGTCCTATACCTCCCAGACTGCCGTGCAGACAACACAGCCAACAACAAGGATGACAGCAGAGACCCGACCAGTGTCCACGGACCCACACTTTGGAACACAGGGAAAGTGTCTGGACACACGGTTCCCTCCTCTGCCATCAGTCCTCTGTGGTCCCAGGCTCGCCCCATTCTGTATGAGATTCCCCAGCCGGCAGCATCCCAGCCTCCGGCAGCTCACAAGGTGAGGAGGGGGCACGGACCTCACTCCCTCTTCACGAAAAGACAAGTGACGCCAGGACAGCCACAGGGCGACTGAGTGGCCCCCCAAAACCCCAAGTCTCTGCATCTCTTTGCTTTCCAAGGTAGAGGCACACAGATGTGTATGGGAGACTCCGAAGGCCGTGGCCGGACTTACTCCCGGCGCCGGATTCCCTCGCGGGGTGGCCCCTGCCTCTGGAGTCCAACCTGGATTCCTGTCACCCAGCCCACACCTGCAGGGCAATCGACCACTCAGGTCTGCCCGTGCTGGAGCCCCCAGCGACCACCCCGGCGCCCAGGTCCTGCCGGGGGGCTGCCCACGCGCGACGTCCCAGCCGGGCGGCCGTGCTCCTCTTTGTCACTCGGCACCTGGCGCGCAGGAGGCAGGAGCGGCCGCCGGATGAATGAACTAACGACAGCGGGTCGGGGAGGGCTCCGGGG